CAAAATGATGATTTGTACTCCTTTATAGGAGATAAACCTCGAGTAATATATAGGGGTGCTAATAATTTTAAAAATATTTTGACTCAGTTATATTCCGAAGGAAATAGGGGTAAATAAAGATGTATATGGAAATACCCTAAGAGGTTTTTATAACTGTGGAAACTGTAGAGCGTGCAAAACTAGCAGAATTCTAACTAGAAAAACAGAAAAATTTCAGTCAAACACAACGAATAAGAATATAGTGTTAAAGAGTTCATAACTTGTAGTTCTAATAATATTATTTATTTATTAACATGCATATGTGGTTTGCAATACGTGGGTCAAACCATACGACCATTGAAAACCAGGATTAGCGAACATTTGAGAAATATACAGAATGGGGTATTAACCCATTCTGTGTCTGCCCATATACACCAAAAACATAATGGAGACATAAGAGTATTGCATTTTATGGGAATTCAGAAGGTGTTAAAACCCTGGAGAGGGGGTGACCATGTGAAGATCCTTAACAAAACAGAAATGAAATGGATCTTCGATTTGGAAACCCTCTCTCCTCAAGGGTTAAATATCGATTTCGATATGTATAATTATATTTAATTTTAAGGAACTATTTATGTTATAGGGACCTGATAGGTGTATATTCACTTTTAGTTTGTATTTTACTTTGTTTTTTAATTGCTTTATATATTCCCTTTCTTCTCCTATATTGAATGTATGGACATTTATCATGGACATCATGGATTTTAAGTTGTAATCATCAAAGTCCATTCATTCAGAGAAGGAACGATCTTTGGAACGCATAGTGAATCTCCTTGGAACGCATAGAGAACCTGATTGGCTTTTCGTGGAACGCAGAAAACCCGGAAACGAAACGCTTAGTGCCGAAAACCGGAAGTGAAATAGCCGCAACTATAGCAGCCGGACGGGACCAAAAAGAAGAATGAAAATCTGCACGGCCGATTGGTTGTTGAGCAAAGGGGGCGGGTTTGGAGGTACCCGTTTCCCGCGCTCTTTTTTATATTTAAATGTATTTGAAGCTTGTGATTTAATGTTGCAACTGAGGAAGACGAGTGAGGTCGTCGAAACGCGTTGTGCTTTGTGTATGGTACTTACCTGTGAACGGCATCATCATTGCTTTCATGTAAGATTTTTATATTTTATACAAATAAATGGTTATACTTGATCTTTAATTTGTATGCCTGTTCTACACCATTTTGCTTCGAGGAACAAGCTTCATATAGAGAAACATCTTTGAAAACCATCAAGAAACACCATCACCCAATACAGACTTTCAGAAATGGGATGTACTATTGAATTTTATACCAGCTGATCCTGTATATTCTGGGGTATTTGTGTGTTTTCTCTATTTGGGTTTACACTATTATAGTGCATGTATTGGATTGTACTTGGTGATATTATTCATTAGCGCTGCACACTACTTTTATCTGTGTTCACTTTGTGCTGTGGGATTTAGTGATTTTTCCCACTAAGTGTGTCTCAGCTGCTTATTGTAGCGCCACGGATTTTACTATTGTTTCTTTCTGTGATTATTTATTTATTGCAGAGGTATCTTATGGTACCTGAATACAGTTTTAAACAGCAGCCAGGATGTGATTATTATTTTTTTTTATTATAAATTATTTTGAAAGATTTTTGGGGGGTTTTTTTTGGGGGGGAAGGAAGGGTACAGAAGGAAAAACAAGGGCTAAGCATGTGGTTTTCACATCATATACATGTGCCTGCTGTGGCATGCTTTTAATCAATGCAAATATTTACATCATTTGTTCTTAGTATCTACGTTTGTCTTTTATATTTCAATGATATCCACAACTTTTCAGCATAGTTATTCTATGCTCTACAGGTTGGGGTAGGTTACAGAAAGAAGAAGGGAAGGGGGTAGGGTGCCCAGTTGTGGTGTACTTTTGTTGTTATTCAAGCGGTGTGTCGTCTTGATCAATTTTGTAACGAGTTTGATGTGCACCTTTCGGTTGTGGTTTTGTGTGGGTGGGTTAGTCGGGTTATTGTGTTGTACCACTTCTCTTCAGAGTTGCAGGGTAGAGGGGGTGTTGGGGATTTGTGTGTGCTTTATTTGTTAGTCTTAGAATGTTTTTGTAGTTGTGCCTTGGGTCCTTATGTGTCACTGGATGTGGTCTGTGTTGTCCAAGTCAGTATAGGTTAGTGGGTATCTGTTCTTTGAGTGCCCTACATGAGCATCTTTCACGATTTTGTCTTTTCCGAGCTTTGCTGCAATGTTCGTGAAGTGGGTGAGCTGGTTGTGGTGTTCACGGGGATTTTAGGATTCCCCTGTTAGTGTTCGGCTCCTTATGAGTGATGAGGGTGGTGTTGGTTTGGCGGTTCGAGTATTTCTTTGGTAGGTGTACTACAGGGTGGTGTTTTCATGTTTTATAGTGGGATATGTTCTGAGTCTGTGGGGTGTGGTGTTTGTTAGTAAATGGGTGGGGGGGGGAGGAGACCGGAGTGGGGGTTGGTGGCGTTGGGTCAGTTTGGTGTTTGTGGGTAGCGAGTCTGTGTTGAGCCTTAGTGTGGGAGTGGTCCCTTGGTGTTTAGGGTAGGATTGGGAATTCATAGAACCATGGGTCCCAAATTTTATTGAAGTGTTTGGTCTTGTTATGGACCAATGCGGACATTTCGTCCATTTTTATGGCATCTTTTATTTTCCGTTTGACTGTATCTATTGCTAGTGTGTCTGGGCTTCCCCATTTTTCGGCTATAGTTCTCCTTGTGGCCAGTGCAATCTTAGCGATTAGCTTGTTTTGGGCTCTTTGTGTGTTTGCCAAGGGTTTGGATAGTAGCCATATCCATGGGTCAAGTGGTATGTCTGTTTGTAGGATCTGGGAAACCATGGATGCTGCTTTCTGCCATAACTGTGCTGTGTGGGCGCAGTCCCACCACATGTGGATGTATGTGCCCTTGTGTCCGCAGTCTTTCCAGCATGTCATTGTCTGACCTGCCCATCTGTTTGAGTTTTAAGGGAGTGATATACCACCGCATAAGCGTTTTATAGGCCTGCTCTTTGTGGTTAACGCATAGTCACATGGTGGCTGTGGCTTCCCAAATTTCGGCCCAGTCGGATGGTTCTTCCGCCGGACCTATATCCCTCTCCCAAGCCGACACGTATGTGAGTGCCCAGTCTTTTATATTTTGTATTATGTGGGAGTATAGCGCCGATATTTGGCCTTGTTGTGTTTGCGTTCGAGGCATTTTTCGAAGGGTGTGAGTGTTCTAGTACCCGCCAGTTTAATTGTCGGCATTTCTAGGAAGCTTCTGATTTGTAAGTGGTGGAACATGTCAAAGGTGTGGAATGGTGTATTTTGTGGGATATCGGAGAAAGGGATCGGTTGTTGGTTATTGTAGAAGTGATGTAGCTGAATGAGGTTGTTTTCTTCAAAGCGTGCAAAATCTTTGGGTGTCATTCCTGGCGGAAATTGCATGTTCCGGAGTAGTGGGGTTAGTGGAGAGGGTTGTGTTGTGAGGCCGCATTTTAGGGTTGTTTTGTCCCATATTTTGATGGTGTTGAGGATTGCGGGGGATGTCTGGGGTAGGGGAGGTCTCGCTGTTTTTGGTAGCCATGTGTACATGGAGGGAAAGTCTTTGCCAAAAATATCATGTTCAAGGTCTACCCATCTTTTTACTCCTGGTGGAGCATGCCAGTTTTGGGCTTGCATTAGTTGGGCAGCCTGATAATAATGGGTGAGATGTGGTAGACCTAGGCCCCCTGCTTTGTTGGGTACATATAAGGTTTGTCATTTTATTCTGGCACGTCTATTGGCCCATATGAAGTTATCAATTTTGGTTTGTAGCTGTTTGAAGTCTGCCACATGCAATGGGATCGGGAGGGTTTGGAACAGGTATAACAGTCTGGGTAGGGCGTTGATCTTTACTGAAGCTCGTCTTCCTAGACAGGATATTGGCATGCTTTGCCATGCGGCTATGTCGTGGTTTTTTGGATCGTGGGAATATAGTTCAATTCGTAGCAGAGGGAGAGGTCTGCTGGTATTGATATCCCCAGATATTTTATATAGGTGGGTGTTAGGTTGAATGGGTAGATATCGTGTATGGCCGATTTAGTGGGGGGATCTATGTGTATTGGGAGGGCTTCAGTCTTGTCAATATTGAGTTTGTATCCCAAAACTTTGACGAATGTTTCCAGGGCATGTAGGAGTGGTGGTGTGGATGTTGCTGGTTCCGTGATTGTAATACACCGATCATCTGCATAGGTTGCTGTTTTGTATTCTTCCCCATGTATTTTTATACCTTTTTTATGTCCTTGTTGAGTCTAAGGGTTTGCAGGAATGGTTCTAGGGAAAGTGCGAAGAGCACTGGGGATAGCGGGCATCCCTGGCGTGTACCATTGTGAAGGAAGGGGGGTGTGTGAGTGGGAGTAGGAGGTGTGCTTGAAGTGTGTCGTATAATACATTTGAAGCATTCATGAATCTTTGTGGGAATCCAAATTTTTCGAGAGTGGCGAACAGAAAGGGCCATAGCAGTCTGTCAAAGGCCTTTTCGGTGTCTAATGATAAAAGGAGGGACGGGATGGGTCTTGTGTTTGCGGTCCAGATTAGGTCAAATGTTCGTCTTGTATTGTCGCTGGCCTGTCTTGTCGGTATGAAGCCTACTTTGTTTGGGTGGATTAGTTGGGGGAAGAGGGGGTTGAGGCAGTCTGCGATGATTTTGGTGAACAGTTTGTCTACTTTTAGGAGTGAGATTGGTCGCTAATGTCATGGTTCAAGGTGTGTTTTATTAGGTTTGGGGAGGAGGCATACATTGGTTTGTAGTGGGTCGCCATGTAGTATTGCGTTATATAGGTTGCAATGGTGTTTGATTAAAGTAGGGGGGTAACCCATCTGGGCCTGGCCTTTTGTTGGGTTTCAGTGCTTTTATCGACCCTGCGAGTTCTTCCAGCGTTATGGGACTAAAAAAAGCTTGTGCTGTTTCTGTTGGTAGGGAGGGTAACGGTACCTGGTTTAAGTATTGGTCTATTAGTGTTTTGGCTGATTTTGGGTGTTGCCATGTTTTTGGGGTGTGATCGTATAGAGCCGCGAAGTATTTTTGAAAGACTGGAGATTTTTTTTTCCGGGTCCTCTGTGGTAATTCCTTCTGGTGTAGTTATTTCGTGTATCTTTTTGCTTTCGGTTCTTTGTTTGAGGGCATCTGGAGGTAGAAGAGTTGTACCTCTTCTGGTGTTTGTAGGTAGGAAGGGTTAGGTAAGCGTTTGTCCTAAGCTCTTGTGAGAATGGGTGTATTGTCCTGTGCTGTGGAGAATTCAGCTTTTGGGTCTGTGACCTTCTATTGTTTCGTGTGATTTTAGCGTGTGTAGCCTGGTGGTGTGGCAGGTATTCCTGTAGCCTGCCTGCGCATTTCTTTGTGGTATGGTTTATCGTCTCCATAGGTGAGTTTTGTTCGTGCCCATACACACCTACAGTGGTGTGGGAGAGTCCTGTTAACCAGCCCTCAGCTATATGGGATGTGGTTTGTCGCCTTTTACGGCCCTTTTCTGGGTCTAGGGCCTGTACTCCTATAGGTGGTGGGCTTGTACGGTCTTTTTGTGTGACAACCTTTTCAATCGGTTTTAACTTATTATGGAGTTGGGAGAATGCTTGTCTGGCTTTTGCCCGTATGGTAGTTAGGAGGTGTATGTAATTGGTCTCCCATGCGCATGTTGCACAGTTTAACTTTATCAGGGCCTAGTCCCCATAAGTTTTTAGGATTTAGATCCCTCTTAACTTCAGGTGTAACATATAATTGTAAATTTTCTAACATAAGTTTAACAAGAATTAACTGCAGTTTAGCAAATCTTATTGTATACTACCAGTTTGTCAGTGACCTTGCACCGGGTAAGTGGTTTGGAGACCGGTACTCAGGTTGGATAGTCTGAGAGATTCCCATGTGCTATCTGCGCTGCGGTTCAAGTGTCCGGCTGTGTATGCTCTAGCGATGTGGGTAGGGGTTTTCTTTTAGGCTGCGTGCGTGGCGTGTTTGAGCGGGAATCCCGCCGTCGCTTAGTGTCCATGGCATGGAACATCGTGGCCACTGACGGCATGGAATTTTTTTTTTTTTTCTTCTTCTTCGAGCCTTCCATCTGGTAGGATATTGGCTCTGTCGTGAGTCTTTTGGTGTTTTTGAAGGCGAGATGCATCTTTGTGGAAGCTGATGGATGCGGATTGCATGCCCGGGCTGGGAGAGCTAAGGAAGCACACGTCTTACTTCATTGAAGGTTAGGCTCCGCCCCCCAATTATTCTTTAAATACCTCCACTTATTTATGAATCTAAAGATTTAATTTTTTTTAGCCAACCTTTAAAAACAATGGCAAAATGTCAGAAGCAAAATATTTCAATGAAGTATTGAACAATAACATAATAAACCCAAGAAACTTTTGGAAAATCATAAGTAACATACAAGTCCCCACATTCCACTCCCAAACCCTGCAATGTTCCCTAGACGTAGCAAATGTTTTTAATATTTAATAATCTGAAATTACAAATGCAGATCTGGTCCAGCTAAATTTACAAAGACGTCATGTAGAGAAATTTAATTTTAGACCTGTGCCTGTTAGTGTCTATGATGGATTCCCTATCCCTGAATGACAAGCTGTGAATTCTTTGAGTACTGTGGATTTTGTTGCTTATTTGATATACTCCATGGTTCGGTATATGCACACCTGAGATCTATCCATTTTATACACCCAATGGCCAGACCACCCAGGGCAGGCGTGTGCTGCTCATTGACCTCTTTCACCTCTGTTCACACCTCCGTAACTACAATTATAAAATTTTGAGCGGCTAGCTGGGTGACCGCCGTTCATGTGGCCGAACACGTGGTGGGGGCCATCTTCAGCCACGAACTTGTACAGCGATGTTTGTTTGTCGAGTGCATGGAACTAAAAATCGGGCATCCGATGGCGCAAACACCACTAGAACTTCCACAGAAGTTCAGCAAAATACATGAGAACTGAATGGCGTTCGGTGGGAGCAAGCTCCCGAACCAGAACTAAAGACTGACTGTATTCACGGACGGCTACATTTCGGTACTTTTATTCTATTTTGTCACCCCGAAGGAGACCAACCGCACAGCCTGATTTTATGGAACTCTTTTGGGGCAGGAGCCTCATGTGTGGTCGGTCAAACTGAGACTTCCATGGAAATCCTGAACCCATCTGGATGATTTATGACAGATTGGGGCTACCAGGGGATATGGCTATATTGGGGTTTCCATGTGGTTTAGGGTTATTTTTAATATAGTGTGAAAATTAAGTTTTTTGTGCCTGGAGATGAGAGTTTAGTACAGTGCTTGACTCAATTATCTACCAGGTACAGAGGAGGGATTGGCCTACTTTGTATGGGAGTGTCCTGTACCTGAGAGTCAATGGGAAGATGTATATGTTTTTACTGTGGCTTACTCTCAGGTCCAGAGGCGAGTGCCCCTTGCATTGGGATTGTCATAAAAGGCCAGTGTGACCACCAATAAATCAGTTCCTGCTTACCCTCAACATAGAGTCTCATCTCATGTTTGTAAGGAACAGCTATACAGCTATAACGACCTTGGGATTTGGAAGACATCACTTTGAATGGGGGCGACACACCTCATCCTCTCTGGGTGGCCACCACAGAAACATAGAATGTGACGGCAGATAAGAACCATTTGACCCATCTAGTCTGCCCAATTTTCTAAATACTTTCATTAGTCCCTAGTCTTATCTTATAGTTAGGATAGCCTTATGCCTATCCCACGCATGCTTAAACTCCTTTACTGTGTTAACCTCTACCACTTCAGCTGGAAGGCTATTCCATGCATCCACTACCCTCTCAGTAAAGTAATACTTCCTGATATTTTTAAACCTTTGTCCCTCTAATTTAAGACTATGTCCTCTTGTTGTGGTAGTTTTTCTTCTTTTAAATATAGTCTCCTCCTTTACTGTGTTGATTCCCTTTATGTATTTAAATGTTTCTATCATATCCCCCCTGTCTCGTCTTTCCTCCAAGCTATACATGTTAAGATCCTTTAACCTTTCCTGGTAAGTTTTATCCCGCAATCCCTGAACCAGTTTAGTAGCCCTTCTCGGAACCTTCTCTAAGGTATCAATATCCTTCTGCAGATACGGTCTCCAGTACTGTGTACAATACTCCAAGTGAGGTCACACCAGTGTTCTGTACAATGGCACTTCCCTCTTTCTACTGCTAATACCTCTCCCTATACAACCAAGCATTCTGCTAGCATTTCCTGCTGCTCTATTACATTGTCTGCCTACCTTTAAGTCATCAGAAATAATCACCCCTAAGTCCGTTTCCTCAATTGTTGAGGTTAGGACTATCAAATATTCTGTACTCTGCCCTTGGGTTTTTACGTCCAACATGCATTATCTTGCACGTATCCACATTAAATATCAGTTGCCATAACTCTGACCATTTTTCTAGTTTACCTAAATCATTTGCCATTTGGCTTATCCCTCCTGGAACATCAACCCTGTTACATATCATAGTATCATCAGCAAAAAGACATACCTTACCATCAAGACCTTCTGCAATATCACTAATAAAAATATTAAAGACAATGGGTCCAAGTACAGATCTCTGAGGTACCCAACTGGTGACAAGCCCAAGCTTCGAATATACTCTATTAACTACAACCCTCTGTTGCCTGTCACTCAGCCACTGCCTAACCCATTCAACAATATTGGAATCCAAACTTAAAGATTGCAGTTTATTGATAAGCCTTCTATGTGCAACAGTGTCAAAAGCCTTACTGAAATCTAGGTAAGCAATGTCTACTGCACCTCCCTGATCTATAATTTTAGTTACCCAATCAAAAAAAATCAATAAGATTAGTTTGGCATGATCTCCCTGAAGTAAACCCATGTTGTCTCTGATCTTGAACTCCATGTGTTTTTAGATGTTCATCAAGCCTATCCTTTAACATGGTTTCCATCACTTTCCCCACTACTGAAGTAAGGCTTACTGGCCTTTAGTTGCCTGACTCCTCCCAATTACCTTTCTTGTGAATGGGCACAACATTTGCTAACTTCCAAACTTCTGGGACTACTCCTGTTAACAATGATTGGTTAAATAAATCTGTTAATGGTTTTGCTAGTACACCACTAAGCTCTTTTAATAGCTTTGGGTGTACTTCATCAGGTCCCATTGACTTATTTGTCTTTACTTTTGACAGTTGAAATAGAACCTCTTCCTCTGTAAACTCACGTGTAATAAATGACTCATTTATCCTTTTTCTTAGCTGAGGTCCCTTTCCTTCATTTTTATCTGTAAATACCGAACAAAGATATTCATTGAGGCAGTCAGCTAGACCTTTATCCTCTTCTACATATCTTCATTTTGTTTTTAATCTAACTAATCCTTGTTTTACTTTTCTTTTCTAATTTATGTATCTAGAAAATTTTTTGTCCCCTTTTTTACTGACTATGCTATTTTCTCTTGTGTGTGATTTGGAAGCTCTTATAAACTTGCTTAGCCTCTTTCTGCCTAATCTTATAGATCATTCTGTCTTCCTCACTCTGTTTTTTTTTTATAATTACTAAATGCTAACTTTTTGTTTTTTACTATTTTGGCCACATCTGCAGAGTACCAGGGTTCCCTGGTATTGCTATGTCCCAGTCATTTTTCTCATTATACCATGTCTCAGTAACAGCGACTAAATCTACACTATCAGTTGCCATTATTGCCACAAGTTCATGGATCTTATTCCCTAAACTGCTAGCATTTGTAGACATGACTAAGCGTATGGTTTTTTTAACACACTTGCTACAGGCACCTTCTGTCCTTGTTTTGGGGGACAATTGGATTGATGTTTTATCACCCTTTTGCCCCCCCCCCACTCCTAGTATAAATACTTCCTAGCAAAACCTCTGAACTGCTCACGGAGAACATTTGTTCCCTTTTGAGAAAGATGCAAACTATCTTTTTTGTACAGGTTATTTCCATTCCAAACAGAGTTACCATGAGAAATAAAGCCAAATCCTTGCTCCCGACACCATTTACCAAGTCACAAATTAAAGTCCCTAATACGCATCCGCCTGTCGTTCTGAATGTTATGCACAGGTAGAACTTCAGAGAATGACAGTGTGGAATCAACCTGCCGTATATCATTGGCAAAAAACACTAAAAACTTCCTTAACCTCTAAAACCTCATTGCAAGCAAAGTCATTTGTCCCTAGATGGACAAGTACATCCAATTCCCCTTCCTGCTTTGCTCGCTTAACAATATTACAGATACATCTCCGGTCTCTGTGAGCAGTAGCTCCGGGAAGACACCTCACAAGACCACCATTGTCCATCTCCACACCTCTTATGATGGAATCCCCCAACAACAGCTGCTTTCTATTAGGCCTCACCATAGTCTCCAAGCCTGTCTCCACAACACCACAACCCTCAGTGCCTGAGCCTGTCTCCACAACACTACTACCCTCAGTGCCTCTCTCCACAACACCATTACACTCTGAAAGTGCAGAAAATGAATTATGAAGAGCAACAGACTGTGCAAAATGCCTTTTATCCACAACTCTAAGTCTACCAGATCCTACAGTAATCCATCTGCCATTCCTAGTATGTCTCTGTGGCAGTGGCTTTGCAGCAGTTCTAGCCTGAGTTTGTTCACCAGATAATTTACAAATCCCAGACTTCGAGAATACTCTCTCCTGCCGCAAGATAGAGAACTGTCTACAGATTAGATAACAACCAAACCTCCAAAAAGTGGAACGTGAAACAAATGCATAGCAACTATTACACTGAACTAAGTCTGCCATTTCAGTGAGGTGAATAATTTAAATCAAACGAATCTTAACTTTTATTTATCCTCCTGAATACCTCATATTTCCTCCAGAATATCTCCAATCACACACTTTGAAGCAGCACTCTCCAGAATATCTCCAACCACACACCTAGAAGCCACATTTAGATGAAGCAACCAATCTATATTAGCCAAGCTAATGACAACAACCTTTATATAACTCCTTAAATCACCACCCACTAGGAATGTTTAACACCTGGGTAGGCCTCTGCTTATTTGCAAACAATAGCTAACTAAACAGCAATCAATAGCAAGTAGCTAACTAATCAAATGCCTTATAATTACCAACAGGAAATCAAACCTTGTGCAATCAGTAACCTTTTCCTACAGATGAATCTTACCTGTAACAGTAGAAAAGAAAATTCTTAG